TTCTAGTAATCGTGTCTTGCTACTAGTACTTTTTGCCAGCTCTACTTAAAAGGACATTCCGGCTTTAGCATTCTCGCTAGCTGATGTTTTAAATCGTGCCCTTAAAATATCTGAGCCTGCTTATTCTATTTAATGTGTGGTCTTAGACCATAATCAACGTTTCAGTTTAATTAATTTTTAATATTAGTTAATTTAAAAATATCTACAAGTGGTGGAAATTTCATCTGTAGCACAAATTATGCCTTTATGTTCAAATTAAGACTAAAATAAAGTTATTTGAATCTTCTTTCCTCTTTTCTGAGTTTTCTAAGACGTAGCGATAAATCGTTATTTGTCTAGTGTAAGACTGTCAGGACTTTAGCTTCCGGTCACAGTAGCAACCCTACAGGTTATTACTATAATAGTAACTCCCCGAAATTCAGTCTAATCGGAGCCAAAAACCTATCCGAATATTCAGAAAAAGAGTAATAACTTTACACAGCAAAATTTTAAAATAAATTTATTTTTTATTTGTGTAAACAAAGATTCCATTTATATTTTAATTAAAAAACTCATTTTTGTTAACGTGGATTCTGAAATTAATAGTTATCCTATCTGAATTTTTACTGTATTAAACCGAGAAATTATTTTTCATTTGCATAATACAAAACGTGAAACTCATTTCTGTTTGATTAAAATTAAGCTACATTATTTTTTTTTACTTGAAATAATACATAAATAAAATGTTAACAACATAATAAAAGAAATTTTGCGCTTATTTAATAATTTTCATAATTTGTACTATAACAGATTTGCGACATCAATGAAACTGTTATTAAATCAAAGAAACAATTAAAAGCACTTAAGATCAATCAACAGCAAGCTTAATTTTGCTTGGCCTAAAAAGGACAAGTGATCTGGATAACAGTATTTTGGATATATTTGGAATTCTGCTGTAAATAACTTCTTCATACAGAATGCTTCCCACAGATATTTGCGTGTGCGTGCTTGTCTCAGAAGAAACTCTTCAGTCATTTATATTCATTAAGCGGAAAAGTTCGAAAATGCGCTTTGATACCACAAGAAAAAATTAGATTCATGATTATTATCATTATATGGGGAATTAGTTTTCTTCATTACGCAGTGAACTTAAAAAGTGAGTCGTGTCTTCTGCACTATTCATATCACCCATCTTCCAGTTGCTAATTCGACGTACTAAGTACTTACACCGCAACAGCAAGTACAGAGGAGTGCGGTAATTCCATATATCTTAACTCACTTTCCAACATCAATATTTCCGAGGTATATCCGAATCCTTAAATTGATTCTTTTTTTTTTCTCGCCTGACGATAGATTCATTGTTCGTATAATTTGCAAAAACGCACTTTATCCAGCTATCCGCTCTTGTTCCTTTTTTTCACTCCTTTATATTCAGAAAAGGCAAAATATTAGCTGATGCTAGATCAGATGAATCAGATAGAGGTTAACCCAGATTGATTTCCAAGTTTTAATAAAGAATATCTTCTTCCATGAGTATTCAATTAAAAGAGTCACCTCGTCAAGAAATACATTGATGTGGTGGGTGTGTATTTAATTATGGCAAAGCACACTAGGGCTATCTGCCTAAGGCGAGGGATGCCTTCGTGGAGGACTTTCTAAGGGAAGCTGGCTCGTATACACGTTACACATGGGGAAAACCATGAAACCACCCATGCAGCCAGCCCGTTTGTGGGATTCGAACCTCGGACCGAACTACCAGTGTTCAGCGATTTTACCGCTCGGCCGCTGGTGGGCCCATACATTGATGTACCTAATGATCGTGTTTAAAGTAGTTGGAAAAATTAAGCTTTATAAGGGAAAGCATTAATCGTGAAATTTTATTAGTTCTGTGAAATCAAATCGAATTTAGGTCTCTCCGCGTAACCAAGGACTCTTAACACATGGGCCCGTTGGATACTTGACTATACTCTTCACGAGCTTAGGGCTCCATGCTAATCCATCTATATTCCATTTCAGTAAGTGATTATCGTATGAGGCCCCTGCACACTGTTTTGCATCTGGTTTATAGAGTGCACCTAGAACACAGCACTGCGCATAACTTATTGCCATTTCAGAATCCTCGAACATTTATTTGTCATGCAGTATTCATTCTATTATTTGTCTATACATTTATTTGTCATGCAATATTCATTCTATTATTAGTCTGTACATTTCTTTGTCATGCAGTATTCATTCACGAAAAAGGTAAGACACAAACAGCTACAAAAAAACTCTGATTAAAAGCTATATTCAACGTTTTAAAACTAGATTAGTTTTAGGTTACATATTTTCTAAATTTTTGTTATCACTGAAAATAAAATAAAATTAGTGAATGTAGGAAAATGATAGTGTGTGCTGTAATTACTGAGCAAAAAACCCAAAATAGCGATTGTTTCTTGGGCGAAAACTGTAAAATTTATGCATCATAACGTTTTATTATTATCGCGTTATTTATTAAACATCACTTGACAACTGATTTTTTAAGTCTTTCAATATCACAGAGTATTTATGGATCTCGAACCTCTGCCTAAAGCAGTGGTTCTCAACCTATTTTGTCTCATGCACCTCTTTCACTATCGCTAGTAGATCCAGCTTCCCCCCCCCCTCCTTTCCAAAAATTGAAGACTACGTATACATTTATTTAGATTTAATTACTTTTAATGTGATTTATATAATTATTAAGGAACAAAAAGTGTAGAAAATGTTGATAAGTCCCCAAACTTGATTAAAAAAATAACTTTTTATGTTATAAACTAAACCTAAATGCTTAATAGTTGAATAAAAGGTTGACCGCATTTCCTCTCTGAAATTCCCTTTTGGTTGAGAACGTCTGGTTTATAGAGTGCGCTTAGAATTTCATTAAGTTCAGTTTCTTGGCTTTAGCCAGCTCTTTTTTAGAAACGACTGTAGTAATTTTTTCGATTGAAAAGTTTATAATTCAGTAATCCGAATTTTCTGTACACCTTAATAATGTGTAAATATTAATGTCTGCTCTGTTGTGCATAAGATTTCTAGAAGGGGAGAATAGGTATGGTAGTATTAAATTTAACTATATTAAAAAAATTCCTTTTGCACATAAATTGTAATTTATAATTCCTGAAAGCATTATCTTTTCTGCATGTGTATTTTAGTATCGTAGAATGCAATCAAAATACTTTCTTATGGAATAAGGACTATTATTTTATGTTAAGTTTATTATATTAGAATGTAATTGTATGTTGAATCAGAATACATTAAAAATGAAACCAAAATAAAAATTTTTATTATTTGTTGTTTCTTGTATGATTCATGGCCCACCAGCGGTCGAGCGGTAAAGACGCTGAACAATGGTAGTTCGGTCCGAGGTTCAAATCCCGCGAACGGGCTGGCTGCATGGGTCGTGGTTTTCCCCGTGTGTAACGTGTATACGAGCCAGTTTCCCTTAGAAAGTCCTCCACGAAGGCATCCCTCCCTTTAGGCAGATAGCCCTCGTGTGCTTTGCCATAATTGAATAACCCAACCCAACCCTTGTATGATTCATTTATAAATCACATAAATTCAGATTTATTTTGTTTCAATGTTGAAAGTTTACGTTTACCTGTTCTGAAAATAAGCAATAGCATAAAGAGGAATGCAATGTACTGTGAAACTGTGTACAGCATATTCATGTTTTATAAACATGTTTTTAAGTGTTGTTTGATAAGTAGATGTTATTACTTCCAAACAAATATCCTCTTTTAAATGATAGTTTTGTGAAGGTGTGGGGAATTCAAAATGTTTTGAAGTGGATTTCAATACTGTAACAGAATGACATTTTCTTTCACACTCATTTTCTTTTCGAAATTTTTATACTTCCTGATAGTTTTTACAAAAATCAGTAACTTAAGATATTTAATAAATATTTAAAATGGATTTTGTACGAAGCGGGAATATCTTTAAACCTATTTAAAAGCAAATAAATAAATAGAAAAGCTTTTGCTTTGTGTATGTTTGATATCAGTAATTATGTTACTAATAATAGCATATCGAAAGATAGAAATGTGGTTTCTCATATTCAGTAGCAAGTAATTAGTTATTTAAAAATTTTACACATGCTGTACATAAATTCAGTGTAATAACACATAACTGGCTAAAAAGTAATGCATTCTGATTTAGCAATTCAGAATAGAATCAGTATATTTTTAATTGTCTGTGAATATGCTCTAATCGGCAATATTCAAATATTTGTGTTGTTGTTGTTTAGTCGTGAACTGTGTGTTTATGGCTAAAGTACATCTTCTGAAACTTGCATTTTATTTTTCAATAATTTTTAAAACTCTTCATCATTCTTTTGCAATGTTTAATCTTACGTATTAAAATTACTTTTGTGCATTTGCTTTTTTATGAACTCGGATAAGAGATTTCGTTAATTTAAAAAATTTTAAAATAAAATTTGAAGTTAAAATAAATTATTATAATATTTATTTTCCCCTTATCTCAGTAAGCTGTTTAAACTGTTTAATTTATTTCATTTTAGATGCTTAACTCATTCAAATTACAGGAAAACAATTCATTGAACACCTGATATGCTTTGCAAGAGCTGATATACTAGGGAAAGTGCATGTTGGTACAGCAGTACAAGTTTTACGTATTCATAAACTATTACAAATACTGAAAGTAAAATTATCTAAGGATTGCAAAATTTAATAACATGTATCTCGTAAATCTTAAATAACATTCGCGAAACATTCAACATGACTCCATTCTTTGTAATGCAAATTATATTAAATTTATTTAATGTTATATAACTAATTAGTTTCTTTTTTAAAAATAAATTTTCACCTTATTTTATAACAACAGAACGTTTTATGAACAAATCTGTATACAAAAAGAATTTTCTAAGCTCCATAAAACGAAAATAATTAATAAAATCATAGAAAACCAATAAAGGTCTTAAAATTGATTAATACTTTTTCAAAATGCTCAGCTTTAAGGTAAAAATACTTAATTTTATGAGTCACGAAAGGCAGATGAAATTTGTTTATTTACACACTTTTCTTCAAACTCTTTAAAAGCTCAGATAAATAAATAAATGTTTTACACTTAAGGATACTATGACTTGAAATTATGTACATTTTTTTCTTTGTCAGTCTTACTTTGATTTGCCCTTGGTGCTGGTTTCTGCTTTGAACAAGGAATTTTTTCACAGTTGCCATCCTGCATGGAGTCGAATAATGTCTTCACGCCAAAAGTGTCTAACCAGTGTTTGTCTACAAGAGTTGAAACTCTGTACAACGCCTTTTGAAACGATCTAGATTCTGTACCGTTTCCCGCAGGTCCTTTAGTGATCTGGCAAAATATTTTCTGCATGCAATCAGGACTATCGAATGATCTTGCTCCGAAAGTATTAATAGCTTCGATGACGGGTTTAAGAAACTCTGCTCCATCTAGGCTTCGACCGTTGTTACCCGTTGCTGTTGTTGTTACGATAGGTAAGCCTCCGTTCATCATCATATTCACCAAAGTAGGTAAAACTGCAGCGAGAAGGATAGTGAACGGTAAAATAGCTGCCAATAAAAGAGCAATGGGTTCTTGAGTAAGCTTGGCTAAAAATCCTCCAAATTTAGGTTTAGAAGGTGCTTGCATTTGATTCATCATCATCATCATAGCAGACATTTGATCGGGTGTGGGCGTCCAGGGATCGCCTTTATAAATTCCTGTTGGAAAATAATAGGAGTCAAAATCTGGAGGAGGTCCACCTTTAGAGTTATCGATGACACTGCTTGTATCTGTACTGTCGGGCTGATCCCCTTTCCAGACATTCCAGTTAACGCTTGATCCACTTTTATACATTCCACCTTTTGGTGAATAATAACGTGGTGGTCGTGGAGGTAGAGGAGGTTTATAAAACCCTACGGGTACGTAATCATCGTACGTTGCTGGAGAGTACACTGGAGGGGAAGATGGGGGTGTTTTATCATCTTCTGATAGCCTGTAATTGATACCAGTGTCGAAATGTGGCATCCCCTTCCTCTTTATAAGGACTTTCAGGCACATAATAGGTGGGTGTAGGAGTCTTCTGAGAAGCATACGTATCTGGAGGACTGTAGATGGCATAATCCTTTCTACCAGATCGACTATTCACTTTTGTAGTATTCTGAATTTTGTTACCGGACTCTTCTGCACATTTAGTAAAGTCAGCAATAACTGCAAGCGTGAAGAAAAGTAAAAGAATCTTAGGGTAATTCATTATCACTGCTTAAGCGATGCTAGTGAGGACCTAAAGTTTATGATATTAGCTGCTGGAACTACCAGAGTTTTATATATTCTATCTGGAGAAAAAATCACGCTCCGTTTACACTCAGCTATCTAGGGACATCGAAGGAAAAATTTAACGCGGAGAATTTCATTTCTTCTCGTGATTTACTCCTTTTTTTCACCGCAATGCTCTTTGTATTTGGCCAGCAAGAAAACGATGACGGTTCTTTAGTTGGATTTGGATGAGTGCAGTCTTATCCGAACCGCGAAGTTCTCAGGTATTTTCATTTCTATCCTTCACTTATCGCCACTCTTTGTCCTCTCAAGATCCGCAAAGACGGACTTGTGATTTACGAGTAATGAACTTTGGTCTGATGACACACTAATTCTATAAAGAGGATGACATACCGACAAAAATGTCTCGTTTTATTTTCTTCTGAGAGAGAAATGCCGCCACGCCTTCTATTGCAAACTTCATTTGCGAATAATTCAAAATTTGCCACATTTTAGAGAGGTTGACTTATCTTGTGCAGCTGGAATTTGGAGCTGTATGTAAATAGGAAAAACTTGAACATCCATTTCTAGGAATTTGTTATGACAGTCTTATGATTTATGTTTTGCTAGGTATGAACGCAGGCAACTATGTGTAATGGTTGTCCTGTTTCGGAAAAAGTAACTGTGAGAGTATAACAGCAATTGCTTTTACTTTTGTGAGAAGTTATAAAAGTGGCTTGTTTAATTTTTGTAAACGATGACACAGTTTATGCGATTTTATTTCAGTTTTGGTAATTATTGTTCTCATTTACATTTCTAATACTTTTTCCTATTAGTATGGAAAATCTTTAATAATGAACTAGCTAATTATTTGAAATGGTTTAGCTAATTCTTTAAACTCATTTCAATATGATTGCTATCATAGCTGTTTTGCACAGAGTATCAGTATTAAAACTGTTTTTGCCATTAAATTTTTATTTACCGTATTATAGAGGGCATGCTACTTTAGTTTTCAGAGTTTTCAATCACCAGTATCCAGTTAAATATTAAATGTGTAATTACATGGATAATTTTGTCAAATATTAATTCTGTGCATTCTAAGTAACCGAATATTTATGTAAGTTCATTTACAGCAGTTATTTTATTTAAAAAAATGTAATACGTTTTTCTTAAAACAAGCAGATTTTGAAAGGGATAAACAACAGCACATGCAAAAAAAATATATGTCAGTTCTTAAATATTTAGTAGATATTTCATAAAGGTAAATTTCAAAAATACAAGAGTCCAAAAAACAGGCATAAGCTACCGTAGATATTTAAAATAATGCTGCTTTGAATTAAAGAACGTATTACTTGAAGATTATATTTGTAATGGAATTTTGTCTGGAGATACAGGGCTCATTCGTTTTAACAGTGTTTGTAAATCGCATATTATAGTGAAAGTAAGAGCATTTGAAGGAAATTAAATATCTGAAGTATAAGAATAAAGGACCAGTTTGTTTTAATGATTTTATTATTACCAGCTTCTCTTAGAATTTATCGCTAATTGTTGAAAGTCTTTTAATTTAATAATTTAACGATAAAAATTTTTTTATAATTTTTAGAACAGTAAGTAATAAAAACTCTCTTTGATTTTATGTTCTATTAACTGAACAATAATTCTGAATAAACCTGAACAATTCAGAGATTTTACACCAGTGTTTAATTTAGGTGTTATACATAGAGATGTCCAAAATGAAGGTAAAAATTGGACACTATCACAATCTAACTTTATTATTTACAAACCTCAGGTAAATAAATATAAGACATTTGCAGAAAATATGATGTTTACAAATAAAAGATTTGTAATAGTACAATTATTTACATTGAATTCGATGCCGCACCTGATGTTGCTAAATCGTGCTATGCTATACATTTCCTTGCGTGATTTTTTGCTACTTTAATTTTTTTATTATCTCATAAAATGCATTTATGTTAATGTAATGTATCTATTAAAATCTCTACGTATAATAAAAGAAAGAGTTTGTATGTCTTACGTTCGTGCTGCGCGTCAGCTAATAGACCTAGGGCTACGAAATTTGTTTTATAGGTGCATCTAGACAAGAGTCAGTGCACCTCGAAGCTATTTTTTCAAAATTCGAATCAGATTTGTTTTTATTTTATCTTTTCGATTTTATCGCATTATTTTGAGTAGTTTCATTCTTTTATAAATTCGTTTTAGCAATAGTTTTTCATTCAATTGTATACTGGACTGCTGACTGTTGAAAATCAGCACTGTTGCCACTTGGAAAAATGAGGGCGATAATTCTGTGCAGTTTTTGAATTTAATGTTTCTCTTGGATACTGGACGTTTGTTGAGAGCAGGCAACGGGAAGTTGGTTAATTTATTTATTAGGATAGTTAATATGTGTATTAAGGGATATTGTTTATTTCACTGTAATTTTTTATATGTAATAGAGGTTTTTTTTAACTTGTGTGTGTGTTTTTTAAATATGAATTTGTTCTGTAGAGTAAAAATTCTGCGCAGTTTTTAAATTTAACATTTGGTGTTCCCTTCAGGCATTTTTCCGGTACATTTAAAAGCCAGACGACGGCTTGCCGTGTAGCTGCTAGTGAATTTATAATAAAAAGTGATAATATATTTAGTTTAAATAAAAGTTAACAAGTGGCAGTCCTGCAAGTTGATAGCTGCTCATGAGAGCATGAACACTCAAGTTTTAAGTCGCTTGAGTTTTCAAAAATCAAAGCAACATCAGATTTCTAAATAACAATATAAATAAATTTAACAATGAAAGAACCTAGTTTTTATCAGTAATAAGAACGTGATGAAGTGAAGTAAGATCAACAATCAGAATGAAATAAAAACTATTGATAATTAAAGTAATGCAAGAAACAATAAATAAAAAATAAACCTCCAACTCAAAGTAATTATTACATCAGGTATTAACAATCCGATCATGAGAAATCACCTAACCATAGACAAATTAATTGAAAAACAGCAGCCTAAATTAACATGTTACGCGTCAAACCTGTTTTGTCTTACTTTCCGTATAACCCTCAATTTACGAGCAGCTAGTAAAAAGAAGTAATATTTAGATACATTCTTTTATATCTCAATTATTTAAAATTTATTAAATGAAGGATGTCATATTTTCTAAATTGTGTGTCATTAGTCAACAGTGACTGATGTGGCATATATACACCACCAGTCTCCGATAACTGCTGCGCTTCAAACAAAAAATATACTGTTAGTAACTAGTGACTGACATGGCGCTTAACGTATTAACTGAGTATTAATTGAAGAAGAAATAGATATTTAAAAAAAATGGGAAATGAACAATATATCTTTACCGAAATTAAGGTACGTGATAAAGACCAAGACTTGAATTACAATCCTAAACGTACGGAACCCACCGAGACTGAATAAGTAAGGATATGATAAGTCATGAGAGCTATGACATCAAATACCTACGTCATCACAAAATTCATAAGATATTTGACTCATATGCTACTTTTTTCTACTTTTCGATTCTTCTTTTGTTTGACTCAAATATTTCTGGCAAAACTGCCCCGCACATGAAAATACAGTCTATTTAACAAGTAAACAACAACAACAACAACAACAAAAAAAAAAAAAAAACACAAAATTACTAACAAATCTGTACAATCTAGTTCTAGTTATTGTGACATCATTTTCTCAGCTTCTTCATCCTTGCGGAACATTTCAAATAATATTCATGTCTCAAGGAATCCTGACGTAGATATTATCACAAAAACGTGATTATTAATTAATAATATTAATAAATTTTAGCATTTCTTATTTTATAAAGTTCATAAGGAAAGGGTAATATACTGAAGCTTACCGAGATGGCATCCCACGGACCTAGACGATTGTGATCTTCTGTAAAAATAGTTATCTTACAGCAGGTGACTGTCAGTGACTGTGTTATGAATTTACTGTAGTTAGGGCTTCAGAAGTCTCTTAAACAGAAGTACTGAAATGAAAGTGCAGCACATCAATTTATTAATAATGCTATATTAATAAAATTAAAACTGATGATGCTAAAACAAAATGTCAAAATGTGTGTGTAAAGACAAAAAGCATTATAAAAACCTTATATTATAAATTTTGTTAAGTAACTGCGAAAATAGTGTTGTATTTATCCGTTGACTCTTTCTTCATGATTTTGTCTTTTAATCACTTCCCTCTCTAAAATGGTTTGAACTTCCTAAAGCAAATGAATTCTCTATTTTTTTCTAGGCTAAGATCTAATTGTTTTAACTTGTTTACATAATTTAGATCATGTCTATTGTTCTCCATAAAAAAAGAAATAATTTAGAACTTCATCAAAAAGAACTAATGCGATTTCTTCACCTTCTTCCTCTATCAGTGTTTCTTTTGTTTCATTTCTTATTTTCTTAGACGCAAACTAATGCCATGTATTTCAAAAGCATTTCAAAAGACTAGATTCCTTTCCGTAATAATAGTATATTATGTTATAAATCTTCTTTTCTGTCCCTTAATTTTAATATTTGATGGGTGTCATTCGATTAGTTACATTTTTCTTTACTTAAACGGCTTCGTTATTCAAATATTATTTGATCAGTATAATTGCGCTATAATATAAAAATACCTATATTGAAATGTGATTTATTTAATCATTAAGTCCCCTTTTTTTTTTTTTTTTTTTAAATAAAAGTAAAAGAGCTGTCCTCCTCAAGTAACTGCAGTGAAAGTCAGAATAGCTAAAAATTTTGCTATCCGGTACAATTCTTGCAGCATATAAATTCCGCCGCCCGGTGCGACCGCTCTGGTTGCGCCAGTCTTTCATTGAATTATTATTTCATGTAAAATGTAATTGCTCAGGCTTCTAACTATAAAATAAATTTAAAAAGAAAAGAAATCTCTTTATGTAACTGCAATGGAATAATATTTAATGTAATCACTCAGGCTCTTTAATTAAAAAAGAACATAATCTTAATAAATTATTGTGCTGAATGCACAATAATTTATTATTTGCAAATCCCTTTGCGGCACAGTGTGTCCGGTCTGGACACACCTAAAAATTTCCTTCTGTACGCACAGAAAACTGAATGAAAAAGGATTTATAGGTTACTCTGAACCTTCTTCATTTA